GCTCATCCATTGTTTAAAAATGGCCTTCTCGCTGTTGTGCAGATTGCCATGTCTCATTTTCGATTAACTGAAAATGATATCTTGTTCAAAGTATCTCTCTTTTTCAAACAAGCATTTGCCGGTTACAATTTCATTCTCCAGAAAACATATAACAAATATTCCAACAAATATTATGGTTGAACTCAAATGTTCTGCTATAACAATTATCTGTATTTACTGAAAATATGTTTGAAAAGGGTATTTTGTTTTTAAATTATATTTTAATAATAGAATGGTAGAGTTATGTCTTTCATGAAGTTATCTGAATTGCATGGGAAGGTCTGCTCAATCCAAGATTACAGCATTACCCCAAAAATAGAGGAGTCAGGTGGCAGCGTGAGGAGGTAGGATACTGGTCTCTGACCAATATAAAAGATAAAAACTGTCAGAGGTACAAAAGCCCCAAGAACACAGTGGCCTCCATCATTCTTAAATGGAAGCAGTTTGGAACCACCAAGACACTTCCTAGAGCTGGCTGCCCAGCAAAACTGAGCAATCAGGAGAGAAGGGCCTTGGTCAGGGAGGTGACTCTGACAGAGCTCTACAGTTCCTCTGTGGAGATGAGAGAACCTTCCAGAAGAACAATTATCTCTGCAGCACTCCACCAATCAGGCCTTTATGGTAGAGTGGCCAGACGGAAGCCACTCCTCAGAAAAAGGCACATGACAGCCCACTTGGAGTTTGCCAAATGGCACCTAAAGACTCTCAGACCACGAGAAACAAAATTCTGACGAAACCAAGATTGAAATCTTTGGCCTGAATGCCAAACGTCACGTCTGGAGGAGACCTGGCACCATCCCTACGGTAAAGCATGGTGTTGGCAGCAACATGCTGTGGGGATGTTTGTCAGTGGCAGAGACTAGGAGACTAGTCAGGATCGAGGCTTAGATGAACAGAGCAAAGTACAGAGAGATCCTTGATGATAACCTGCACCAGAGCGCTCAGGACCTCAGACTGGTGCGAAGGTGTACTTTCCAACAGGACAACGTCCCTAAGCACACAGCCAAGACAACGCAGGAGTGGCTTCGGGACAAGTCTCTGAATGTCCTTGAGTGGCCCAGCCAGAGCCCAGACTTCAACCCAATCGAACATCTCTGGAGAGACCTGAAAATAGCTGTGCAGCAACGCTCCCCATCCAACCTGACAGAGTTTGAGAGGATCTGCAGAGAAGAATGGGAGAAACTCCCCAAATACAGGTGTGCCATGCTTGTAGTGTCATACCCAAGAAGAGTCTATGCTGTAAGCGCTGCCAAAGGTGCTTCAACAAAGTACTGAGTAAAGGGTCTGAATACTTATGTAAATGTGATATCCGTTTTTTCTTTTTAATACATTTGCAAAAATGTCTACAAACCTGTTTTTGCTTTGTCATTATGGGGTATTTTGTGTAGATTGATGAGGGAAAAAAACAATTTTATAAATGTTTGAATAATGCTATAACGTAACAAAATGTGGAAAAAGTCCAAGGGGTCTGAATACTTTCCGAAGGCATATGTTTCGTGTTACTACCTACTCTTTTTTTGGTTGCATATATTGTTCTGAAAACACTGTATGTCTTTCATGGAGTTATCGGAATTGTATAGGAAGGTCTGCTCAATCCAAGATTACAACCAATTGATTATAGCATTACCCCAAAAATGGAGGAGGCAGGTGGCTGCGGGAAGAGGTAGGGAACTGGTCTGTCTGCCCAATAAAAGGGATCAAAACTGTCGGAGGAACAAAAATGGCATAAATAGTAAAGTATACCAGTTTCATTTGAAGACCAGGATGTTGACAGCTGTGCTAAACAGATTGCAAAATAGCTGGGAAGAGATTTTTGATGTACCGATTTCGTGGTACAGGGTGTATGAGTTGATATAAAACGACGCAAGATTCAAGACTTCGTGCTTTTCAGCTTAAATTATTGCACAGAATTCTCACCACCAACAAAAGGTTGAATATTTGGGGCATACAATCATCACAGCTCTGCAGAGACCTGGTCAGTCAATTACTAATATACTAATACTCTTAGTAAAAGTATTTATCTTCAACTGACAATCTGTGGATTCTATTGGATTAGATAGATTCAAATTGTATGTTAAACATCACAGCATATTTGAAAGATATATGGAGCGTAGAAATCCGAAGAGGGTGGCCAGCAGAGATAGGTGGGATGGGCTGAGGGAAATTGAGGGTTGGGATGTGGAACTGGAGACAAGTGGGAGTGGAGTTGCTGGGCGAACTGTAGGGGGATCTTGGATGGTTGGTGGCCTGGCGGTTGAGAGCTTGGGCCGGTGGCCGATAGGTCGCTGGTTCAGGTCCCTGTTTTGACTTAGTGGGAGATCTGTCGACATGCCCTTTATTTTTATTTTTTTATTAATTTTATTTATTTAACCTTTATTTAACTAGGCAAGTCAGTTAAGAACAAATTCTTATTTACAATGACGGCCTACACCGGCAAAACCCGGACCCTTGGGCGGGGCTTCTGTGGGTCACTCTGGATGGGAGTCTGTTAGATGACTGAATGTAATGTAAATGTTGAGGGTTTCACTGCAGGTAGATTGTATGTTTTCATATTCAATACCCATCGACCAATAGCTGCCCTTCTTTGCGAGGCATTGAAAAACCTCCCTGGTCTTTGTGGTTGAATCTGTACTGAAATTCACTACTCGACTTATGAGTACAGGTGGGGTGGATAAGAAAAAAAAGAAAATTATGGACTACATCTTTAGTCATTGGAGGGTTCTCCCAGTTAAAAAGTTAAATTCAAAGTGGGATTATTTTTCTGAGAAATAGATCTTGCCTCTCCCTAAATAGCAGGAAGCAGATTGTCCAGTCAACTTTCCTGCCAGTTCTTGACTATGGTGACACCATTTACCAGATTGCAGCCACTACTCTTAAACCTGTGGATGCCATCTACCATACTGCCTTCGCATACTGCGTCCTCACAGTTGGATTCATTAATTAATTTGCATAGAGGGAGGGACCAGGGTCACAATACAGATGCAGTGATCTTATTATCTTGATCAGATGACGACAACCACAAACTTGTAAGGCATGGCTTGGGCTCGTTTGAGTGGTAAGGCTGAAGCAACCGACTGCTGACAAGTCAAGGAGTGAAATCGGGGGAGGTGCATCTGCAACAGCCGAAAGTTCGGACGCTGATGTGGGTTTCCAACAGCAAAGCACAGTGCAACATGGCTGTTGATGTAGCTACTTGTCTTTTTATTATCATGTTATAGGGTGATATTCAATATATTCAATCTGTTGTAGTAATTTCAAAATATCCTCTGCAGACCTTCCCAGTTCACAAAAATGTGGCAGTTGGCACTACCATGCCAGTAGATAACTTTGGCCTAATAGCATCGACTCCACTGAAAGACGGATCATCCAAACCTACACCAGCTAAGTGGTCATGGATGGACTGCGCGGATAAAATCTGCAACAGCCAAAAGTCGGACACTGATGTGGTTTTCCAACAGCAAAGCTAAGTGCAACATGGCAGTTTATTCAAGTAAAAAAAAAAACTCACTCACAAACTGTAAATATATTGTACTCTTTTTTTTTGTTATTGTATATATATTGTATTATCAATTGGTCAATTGGTAAGAGAGAGCCTCAAATATCACATTAATTTGTCCACTGTATACATAAATCTCGCAAAGTTGGTTTCTGTTTCAGTCACATCTTCTTTTCACGATCAAAAACACCCTAATCAACTACACGGAGCTCAACCGAGCTACTCTCCTCACATAAAACAATCACCCACAAGGACAAGGGGGCAGAGGGAACACTTATACAAGTACTAATGAGGGGATATGAACCAGGTGTGTGTAATAGACAAGACAAAACAAATGGAATGATGAGATGAGATGCGGCAGTGGCTAGAAGGCCGGTGACGACGAACGCTGAAACCTGCCCGAACAAGGAGAGGAGGCAGCTTCGGAGGAAGTCGTGACAACAGCGGAGAGTGGTCCGTGTACAGTTAAAGTCGCCTCCAACAATAACACTTGTATCCGAGATATTTGGCATGGCCTTAAATACCCTTTGAAAAAATAATGGATCATCGAAGTTGGGTCCATATAAATTGATCAAGGTTATTGGTATCGAATTCAGTGTACCAACCACAATAATGTACAGACCATTAGGATCTGAAATCGAGGATGAGTAAATAAAAGGAATGTTTTTCCTCATCAGGATTGCTACACCTCTCGCTTTTGCATCAAAATTAGACTGGTATATCTGACCGATCCAGCCGACTCGTAGTTTGGCCTGAGCCGAACGTTTATTATGAGTTTCTTGAAGAAGCACTATGTCAGCGCTCAGTGATTTAAGATGAGAAAAAACCTTTGCTCTTTTCACGACATGACCCAAGCCATTGCAATTCCAACTGACTATCTTTAATCCACCAGGTCTACTCTGTGCCCGGTCACTATGTGGCATTTGTTATTTTAGAGCAAATTGTTGCTGTCATACAAAACCCAAAAGAAAAACGTCCCGCCGTGCGATAACTTGTCATGCCACCTGTACTAAAAGTGAACATAAAACACAGACCCCATCCCCCCTCCCGTCCCATTACTGAGTGACTTCCCCAAACGAAGAACTCCTTGACTAACACACAAACCTTACGATGCCTAGACATAAAGCCTGAACTAACTCGGCATCTATAGATGCTCCACATATAAACAAATATTAAATAACACTTAACTCTCATGTTAGGGGGTAAGTGAGACCAAAACAAGATAGGCCAAACAATGCTATATAAGCAATAATATCTCACCCATCATTATAAGTTCCAATTTCTGATCTTCTGATCGAAAAGACATTGGCAGGAAGTTCTAACACATTCCTAGCCTGTATTTGGCCACTTAGCCGTTGACACAGCAGTTCTCTATCCTCAGCCAGGAAGCTTGCTTGACAAGAACAGGTCGGCCTCTTTTGGGTTGTCAAACGTACGTGTCGATCCCTCGACTGTCACCTTAAACCTAGGAAGATGAATCCACCCTGCATTTCTTGCGCATCTCATCATACTCTTTCCGTTGGTTCCTCACATCCAAAATAAGATCTGGGTAGAAAGACACCCTGGCTCCGTTGTAGTTAAAGGGGAACTTTTGACTAGCCAGCTTGAGGATGAGATCCCTGGTCTGGGAATAGTGCAGCCGTGCGATGAATGGCCTTGGTGGCGCGCCCTTGGCCGGCTTCATTGCCTGTGATTTGTGTGCACGGTCAATCAGGATGGGCGTTTTGAAGTGTTCACTCTCCAGCAATGCCGGTATCAGCTCTGAAACAAATTAAGTGGGTTTCCCTTACTTAGTGTCCTCCTGGATCCCAAATATTCGGATGTTAGGACGTCTTGTATGTGACTCGAGCATTTCCAGTTGGGCTTTCAGGGTTTTGTTGTCATTTTTTAACGTTGTGCACTGTTTCTCTATGTCCTGTAGCCTGGCCTCGTGATCAACTGTCGTCTGCTCGACCTTATGCACCCTGCCCTTGGTTGCCTTCACAGTTTCAGTCAAAGTCCCAATACTCTTTGAGATATCAGCCAACCTTGTGTCCACCTTCTTGCTTAGTGAGTTTGTAGTGGCCAGTAGGTCACTTGGAATAGGTTCTGTGGGGAGCTCTTGGGAGCCAGCATCTTCAGCTAACTCCTCGTGGTTCAGCGATGTTGAAATCGGTTCGTTGTCTGTCTCATCCAAATTATCTTGTTTAGATCCTCCTTTTTTGGTGCCTTTTCCCTTTGTCATATTGCCAGACAATGTTTGAAGTTATAGGTTGTGAGAGATTAAGATAAATATGAATTTGTTTCAAAATTGAGCAGAGCTCTAACAAAACATGTCTATTCCATAGCACGCTCTCTAGCGCCCCCCTCCATCATTCTTAAATGGAAGAAGTTTGGAACCACCAAGACTCTTCCTAGAGCTGGCCGCCCAGCCAAACTGAGCAATCGGGGGAGAAGGGTCAGGGAGGTGACCAAGAACCCGATGGTCACTCTGACAGAGCTCCTGAGTTCCTCTGTGGAGATGGGAGAACATTCCAGAAGGACAACCATCTCTGCAGCACTCCACCAATCAAGCCTTTATGGTGGTGGCCAGACGGAAGCCACTCCTCAGTAAAAGGCACATGACAGCCTGCTTGGAGTTTGCCAAAAGGCACCTAAAGACTCTCAGACCATGAGAAACAAGATTCTCTGGTCTGATGAAACCAAGACTGAACTCTTTGGCCTGAATGCTAAGCATCACATCTGGTAGGAAAACTGGCACCATCCCTATGGTGAAGCATAGTGGTGGCAGCATCATGCTGTTGGGATGTTTTTCAGCGGCAGGGACTGGGAGACTAGTCAGGATCAAGGCAAAGATGAATGGAGCAAAGTACAGAGAGATCATTGATGAAAACCTGCACCAGAGCGCTCAGGACCTCAGACTGAGGCAAAGGTTCACCTTCTAACAGGACAACGTCCCTAAGCACACAGCCAAGACAACGCAGGAGTGGCTTCGGGACAAGTCTCTGAATATCCTTGAGTGGCCCAGCCAGAGCCAGGACTTGAACCCGATCGAACATCTCTGGAGAGACCTGAAAATAGCTGTGCAGCGACGCTCCCCATCCAACCTGACAAAGCTTGAGAGGATCTGCAGAGAAGAATGGGAGAAACTCACTAAATACAGGTGTGCCAATCTTGTAGCGTCATACCCAAGAAGACTCGAGGTTGTAATCACTGCCAAAGGTGCTTTAACAAAGTTCTGAGTAAAGTGTCTGAATACTTATGTGAATGTGATATTTGAGTTTTTTATTTTTTATAAATTTGCTAAAATGTCTACAAACCTGTTTTTGCTTTGTCGTTATGGGGTATTGTGTGTAGAATGATGAGGGGAAAAAACAATGTAATCAATTTTAGAATAAGGCTGTAACGTAACAAAATGTGGAAAAGTCAAGGGGTCTGAATACTTTCCGAATGCACTGTAGCAACACCACCACCTTTAGATTTGTGATCTGACCAAAAAATTATGGAACTTTTTAGCAAAAAAACTATTTCTCAAATAAGCATTTTGCTAGGACGGTCTGAGTGGTCTGTGTGGAGGATGATCTCATCCTACGAGAAATTTGCATCAGAGGGAATTCAACTTATAGGGATGACTGCTACAGATGCATAATTATTTTGCTCGTCCAGGACAGTACTACACATGTGCTGTAGAGCCAAGCATGCTGCACTTGCTTGAGTCAAATAATAATTCAATAATATTTTTATTTCCCTGGTGATGATGACTGATGGCAATTGTTATTTCAAGTTAATGCAGTCAAACATTTTTTGACGAAGGTGTATGCAGCGTGCTGTGCCGTGCTGTGACACTCGCAAAAAAAAAGACTGCATCTGTACCAACATTGACAGCACATACTGTATACAGTAAAGTATCAAATAGTACAAAGTAGTGGGCCAGTTTATAAAAAGTTTATTTTTAAAACAATAATAAATGTATTTGAGGTACATTTCAAGCAAAATGTACTGTTATTGTTCAGTACACTATAAAAAAATATATCTTTATGAACTTTTGGTAAGGGAAGTGAATCTTTATCTACTGTAAGTATAACAAAATCTCTTTTGCCCCCCCCCGTATTTGCTTCATGTCTTTTATTAAACGTTTTTGTTATGTGCTGTACTATACTTCTTTCTGATCACCAAATAATTATACCCTTAGTTGAACACCCATCTTGATTTGTGCGGTCGTCAAATATGTAGATTGTAGAAAATTAACTCAAGGAATCAATCAAAGAAGAAAGCCTATCAGAAAAAAAGTCAACTCTGACCTGTCCATCTTCCTGAGTCTCCAAACAAAGCCGTGATGCAGCTCCATATATATTGTTATTGGGTTGTCCTGCAACCCAAAACCTGACAGAGGAGTCTTGACCTGTGCAGGCCAATCCACACTCTGTTTTCTCAAGCTGCAGTCTGTATGGCCTGTTTCTCAGTCTGGGTCCACACACTGATCAGGACTCTTTGCATTAACTCTGAGTCTCCATGTCATGAGATAGTTAATCAGCACATAGGTCAGGTTAGCATTTTCCTTCCTGGAACATACACAAAATCCACTCAGGTTATATCATTTTTTACTTTATTGAACCTTTTATTGAGAACACGTTCTCTTTCACAATGAAGACCTGGCTGAAAGATGCAACAGTAATATAGCAGGAACACACATGGAACGCAGATACATTTTTGACACATGACCAAAAACAATCTGCATTGCTTGAAGAAAACCTTGTTTTTAAAGGTAAAAAATGAAATCAGTAGGAGGCTGTACAACAAAGTTCCTGTACAATAAAGTTCTGTATTTGGTTCTCGCTTTTGGGAGCACTCACTGAAATATTCGGCAAAGCAGGACAGACCTGGGTTCAAATACTAATTCAAATAACCTTAAAAGGGGGCAAAAAAACGGTCTATGTGGCATCGATAATAGTCAGAAATGTTTTCCTATACTAGTGCCAAAATGTACTAAAAAGTGTCCTCCAAAATTGAGTTTTGTGAGATTTAAGAAATCTAGAACGGCACCATTTTCCTAGTGTCCAAATATACTAAAATGAACTAAAAAGTGTCGTCCAAAACTAAGTTTTGAGAGATTTAAGGAATCCAGAACGGCACCGTTTTCCTTGGAATAGATTTCAATCCTGCCCGCATAACATGGGACCGCTGCCTGGAACGGCTGGCAGCACCCAAATAATCATAGGAGCCCAGTTGCACGTGACCCAATCGTAGCAGCAGAATCAACCTACAGCACAGCTGCACAATATCCTATCGTAGCAGCAGAATCAACCTACCCAACCGCCCATTTCTTTACAGACAGTTGAACTAACCAATTGAGTCATTAGCACACAGTACTTTGGGACTTGTTGAAGAGACAATGAACAAGACATAGCTACTGGTACAATACATCGTCGCCAATGTTATCTTGAAAGAACAAGATTTGTTCTTTAAAAATGGCTTGGGTTTTTTCCAACATGAGCTAACGTTAGAATCACAAACACAAACATCAAAGATAATCTAGAAAGGTCATGCATAACGCATTTTGGGATTCTTGACCAATCACATGTATTTATTTATTGTAAGACACATATAGATTAGGGCGGAATATTAATGATCTAAACGATTTCTCTGTCCAGGTCTGTCTACACTTGTAAGATATTTAGACACCAATGGTAGATTATCAGATACTCAACAAGAACATCTGATTTAATTATTACTGAAACAGGACCCAAGTGATAAATATAAAGATCCAGTCCATTGAAACAATTGGAGGCCCCTTACACTTCAGTGTTGTGATGCAAAAATTATAGCGAAGTGCATAGCGCTTAGAATTAAAAAGTCATTGTCGGATATTATTCATCCTAATCAGACATGTTTTTTACATGGATGATACATTGGAGAGTATATAAGACAAGTACTGGAAACAACAGAACACTATGAAAAACCTGGGAAACCATGCCTGGTATTCATAGCTGACTTTCAAAAGGCTTTTGATAAGTACAACTGGAATTGGTATATAAATGCCTGGAATATTTCAATTTTCGAGAATATCTTATACAATGGGTTAAAGTTATGTATAGTAATCCCAGGTGTAAAATAGTAAATAATGGCTACTTATCAGAAAGTTTTAAACTGTCAAGAGGAGAAAAACAAGGTTGTCCACTATCGGCATATCTATTTATTATGGCCATCGAAATTAGCTAATAAAATCAGATCCAACAATAATATAATTGGTCTAGAAATCCAGGACTTAAAAACAAAGATGTCATTGTACACTGATGAGTAATGTTTTCTTTTAAATCCACAATTTGGATCCCTCCACAGCCTCATAGATTATCTAGATACTTTTTCTAACCTCTCTGACAACCAAATTATGATTAGTGTACTATATTACGTATTGGATCACAAAAAAATACAACTTTTACATTACCGTGTAGTGTACCAATAAAATGGTTTGACGGTGAAGTGGAAATAATCAGTATTCATATCCCAAAAGAGAGAAATGATCTCATTACAATACAATTTAATAGAAAGTTAGCAAAAATAGATGAGATCTTGCTACTGTGGAAAGGAAAATACCTGTCTATTTGTGGAAAAATCACCCTGATTAACTCTTGAGGTCATATCCCAGTTTACCTATTCGCTCATGGCCTTGCCTACACCTAGCGACTTGTTTTTTAAATTATATGAGCAAAAAATATTCAATTTTATTTGGAACGGCAAGCCAGACAAAATTAAACTGGCCTATTTACATAATTCATATGAATTCGGAGGGCAGAAATGATTAAATATTAAAGCATTAGACCTCTCACTAAAGGCTTCAGTCATTCAAAAGTTATACTTAAATCCGAACTGGTTCTCTAGCAGATTAGTAAGAATGTCTCACCCCATGTTCAAGAATGGCCTTTTTCCCTTTATTCAGATTACAACCTCTCACTTTCGGTTAATTGAAAATGAAGTCATCTCAAAAATATCGCTATTTTTAAAACAAGCCATAGAAAGTTGGTTGCAATTTCAGTTTAATCCACCAGAAAATACAGAACAAATATTACAACAAATATTATGGTTGAACTCAAATATACTAATTGATAACAAACCAATATTTTGGGATAAAAAAAAAATATATATATATATAATCTTTGTAAATCATATCATAAATAGGACTGTTGGAGTTATGTCACACATGCAGCTAACAAAGATATATGGAAATGTCTGCTCTACTCAAAATTACAACCAACTAATTGCAGCATTACCACAAAAATGGAAGAGGCAAGTGGAAGGGGGAGAAAGCAAGGAACTTGTCTGTTGGCCCTGCATTAAAGACCAAAATTAGCTAAAGAAAATTGAGATAAATGAAAAAGTATTC